CGACGTTTGAGACTTGCAGTCCGAGGAATTTTTGGAATATGCCTATATAGCCACAGGACCAATAGTAGTATCTCTCTCAACGGGATCAACCTTGTTGGTCCCGCGCCGATCTTCTCCAGATTCTCACATCTAGCAAATTTGCGTGTCCGCTGCCACTTCATCCTCCCATCTTTTCCGTGACCTTCCTTTTGGTCTTGTGCCCTGCATGTTACTATCTATGGCTCTTTTTGACAATCTTTCTGTCTCCATTCCTACTACATGACTAGGCCAACAAAGTCTCTGAAGTTTAACGAAATCTGAGATCGGTGTCTCTTTGAACAGTAGTTAGAGTTCATGGTTGTACATGGATCTCCATATTCCGTTTTCGTTAATAAGACCAAATGTCTTTCTTGGGACTTTTCTTTTAAAGACTTCCAGTTTTCTTTTTGTCTCTGTTGTCATCAACCATGTCTCGCAGGCATGATGATGACATGATTTGAAACCGTGCTCAGCAAGTTTTCTGCGGACTGTCATGTCAGAAACTGGCATCACAGCTTCACGAATAAGTCCTGTGAGGATTCTTCTTGGCTTCTTTCTATTGTTTACGAATATATTTCTTATTTTTCTTTCGTCTCTGGGTGTAATGACCCGCTTTCGATCACATTTTTGGGCACGCTGGGGAGTCAGGGGTTTGTTGGTATAAATTTTTTTCTTGATATTGCTCACTGTTACTTGCGCTACTTGGCATTGTTGAGCTATCTGACGTTCTGAAACCTTTGTATTTAATAAAAGTGTCTTTATCTCCACCATTTTAGACATACGAACGTCTTAAGCCTTACCCATTATGATATTTCTCTCAAAAATCGACATGTTTTGAAATTGTCTTTAAAATTATAACTGATAGTTTTTTTCACTCACATTCACCACTAATACATTAATAAAATATACTACAAAGATAAAACGATACTAATCTTTTAAAAACAGAACAAAAACATACAAATTCAGTTGTAAACTCCAAGCGCAAATTCACCACAATGTGTATGTTGTCACGTAGTTTGACACAAATGACAGTTCTAGAGATGTAAACGTCAAAAACGTAAGGTAATTAATGGCAAAATATATGGGCATACCTTAATTGCATAGCAGCATATGATTTTATTATAAAATTTTTAAATGATTTAAATTTTAAATGTTTGAACAAATTCGAAAAACTTAAACTTTTGTGACTGATCATAATAATTTGATTCACTGTATATTCGGCTGTCTTATCACATATTCCAAGGTCAGGTTGAACAGTGTCGGTGCCAGCCCGTCTCCTTGCTTTAATCCTTGGACTATTGTAAAGTTTTCATTGAGCTCATTTTGGACTCTGACAGTTGCTCTTGACGAATCAATTGTTGTTTTTACCAGTCGGATGTATTTTTGGAGGATATTTAAGCTCTACAATATTTAATATAACTTGTTCCTATTAATTGAGTCGTAGTCTTGTTTAAAATCTATGAATATGTTGTGGACGTCAATGTCGTATTCCCACAATTTGTTTATAATTTGTATCACTGTGAATAGTTGATCAATTGTAGATCTTCCTTATCGGAAACCGGTTTAATATTCCTCGACAATATTTTCAGTTAGTTGCTGCAGTCGTTTGTTTAGTATGTAAGTTAAAAAATTGTAAGCCGTGCAGAAGAGGGTTATGCCACGATAATTTTCGCATTTCAGTTTATTCCCTTTTTTATAGATTGGGCATATAATCCAGGTTTTCCAATCATTAGGGATCTTTTAAAGTGAAGCTCGGGGTTTGAAAATAAGTATCAAGAAGACAAAAACAATAATTATAAGTAGAAATGATTACCCCAATGCAAAGATATATGTCTTTGTAGAAGAAATCGAACAGGTTAGGCAATTCAAATACTTGGGTTATTTGCTGAACGAGGGTTGGGACCCCGAGAATGAAGTAAAGAGCAGAGTTGAACAAGCCAGAAATGCTTTTTTGAGGCGTCGTAAGTTTCTGAGTGATCGCAAATTGGACTTCAACCTCCGATACAAGATGCTTCAGTGTTACGTGTGGCCTGTTCTCCTGTACGGAATGAAATCATGGACGTTAAAGGCTAGTTCCATTAACCAACTTAAAATGTTTGAAATGTGGTGCCTTCGTCGAATGCTTAGAATATCATGGACGGACAGGGTCAGAAATGAGGATGTACTCAGAAGAGCGGGCTAACAGGATAGGGAACTTTTTAGTTATGTAAAAAGTAAGAAGACTGCATACTTGGGGCACATATTACGAGGAGATAGATACACTTTTCAGCAACTAATACTCGAAGGTAAGATAGAGGGTAGGAGAGGTCTGGGACGTAAAAAATGTCAAGGCTGCGCAATATTCGACAATGGACAGAAATCCACAGCTATGAAATGCTTCGTAATGCTGCTAAAAACAGAATTATTTAATCCTGAATATTTAACATCTCACCTGACAAGACGATGTACGGTGGACGCATACGCAGAAACGCACGGCACCTCAAGAAGAAGAAGAAATCTTTTCATGATTCCAAATCTTGTTCATGAGCATATGCATTTGTCCTACTAGGTGATCGCCAATAGTACTATATGCTGCAGAAATATTTACATTAACAGCAAACGAAGAAGAGCAATAGCTAGAGCAATAAAAGCACTAAGAATTAGATGGTGTGAACATATAGAGAAGAGAAGAAGAGCAAATAAGAAGGGAGAAGATAAATTAGAAATATAGAAAGTACAATCAAAGAGAGAGAAGAATGAATAAAAGTACTGTAAACAGCGAAGTCACACCAGAAACTCTAAAACGGATATTATTCATGAAAATCGTTCTTGAGAATGACCTGAAAATCTGGTCCATAAGTTTGTTCCTCTTTTAATGATGATGAATTTTAAAATTAAAATTACGATTAATACAAACCTAACAAAGTTATACGGTACTACGAGTAGCAGTACAGATAATGAAATTGATGGCTCTTGTTATAAAGTAAAACAAACACTGAATAAAACAAAAAAATATATAAATTTTGAATAAAAATTGGAAACTTTAACGTTAAAGTATAAGAGGACATCTTCCGTATTTTTTGGGCAACCAGTCTAGGAAAAGGAAATGAGAGAAAAATATACTGGTGCAGTTCTGCCAAGAGGAAATCGTTGTTACGTTTTTACTAATAATTACTAATACGTAATTAAATAGATTATATCCTAATTATTAATATATTCGGAAATGCATGTAAATATACTACAATTAAAAAGCCCTTTATTAAAAAGAAATATGATAGACAAACACTACAACAAGAGGAGTTTAAACATTACTTTTAAAAATGGACAACAAAATACGACAACGAGGCAACATGATATAAGGTTAAAATGTACCTAAGTTTTTTTAAATTGAAAAAGACTGTAAGACTTGTACACACTTCTAAATAGGTCTAACTGGTAAGCAGGTTTTGTATGTTTTCAATAAAATTGATACTGTGTAAAATAATTTATTAATTAAGCTTAGTATTCTTTCGACATAATAAATGTCATCATCAGAGCTATTCTAAAATAACGTTAAGTTAAGTAAATTTTTTTATATAATACGATGACAGAAAAAAAAAATTACGTCAATTAGGCAATAAATACTTCATAGAAGGAAAATTGTGGACAAACAACATATTAAAAACAAAGATCGGGCACTCTAGGCCACAGATCTTGGGTCTAACCCTTATACATATGTATAATTCACATCAAATAGTTAAAATAGGAAACATGGCTACCACATACAGCGACGACAACAGCAGTTTTTGACTTTTTGATTTTTGAAGTAAGATGAAGGCAGAAGCTCGAATATACGGAAATAAATCCGAGAGCGACCTCTATATTTAAAATTATTAATTAAAAAAATATAAAAAAGGCCTAATATAATCTAGCAATTCTCTTAACTCAAAACTCTTAACTTGGCAAATGATACTTCTCCTTGGTTCGTTTTCACCTACTTTCTTCTACTTGGTCAAACTTTAAAAGTTTTGCTTTTTGATATTTTTGATAAATTTATATTTTAAATTTTCACGTTGACTTATCAATTTAAAATATTTAAATTCATAATTCTATAGTAACTAAAAGTAATAATCAATAACCTTCAGACGTCAGTTTAGACATTTTCAATTTTTTCAATTAATAATTTTAAATACAGAGGTCGCTCTCGGATTTATTTCCGTATATTCGAGCTTCCGCCTTCATCTTATTTCAAAAAATCAAAAAGTCAAAAACTGCTGTTGTCGTCGCTGTATGTGGTAGCCATGTTTTCTATTTTAACTATTTGATGTGAATTATACATATGTATAAGGGTTAGACCCAAGATCTGTGGCCTAGAGAGCCCGATCTTTGTTTTTAATATGTTGTTTGTCCACAATTTTCCTTCTATGAAGTATTTATTGCCGAATTGACGTTTTTTTCTGTCATCGTATTTTATAAAAAAATTTACTTAACTTAACGTTATTTTAGGATAGCTCTGATGATGACATTTATTATGTCGAAAGTATACTAAGCTTAATTAATAAATTATTTTACACACTATCAATTTTATTGAAAACATACAAAACCTGCTTACCCGTTAGACCTAAGTTTTTTTGGCCTTAGGTTTAGGACTTATTTAGCCAGACAATTGGTTGAATACGTAAAAACAATCTCTTACACTTCCTTTAAATTCATGACAATTTCCTAACCGTTCGTTAATTCGTTCATTCGCTCAATTTCCTAACCTTCTCATTGAAAACACTATTGGGTGACTATATGTACCTAAGTTGTACCGTAATATTTTGAGACTATCGGGATATAAAAAAAGGGGGAATTTGGATGGGATGAAGCGACGACAATTCTAAAAATCATGCAAGACTTACAAAGTGGACAACAAAACTTCTAAATTTAACTTAAATAAATAAATTTTTTGGTATTTTTTTAATTTATTTTTAAAAGACGCTTTATTGGTAAGTGATATTGTGTATTTTGTCAATTAAACTAACCTTTTTCCAGGTCTTCTGAATGCATTCGGAGCTTGACGCGATAGCAAAATGTGATCACTATTGTCACAAATAATTCTTGACATAGAAGCTTTCCTTAGTTGAAACAGTTGATCTAAAAATATAAAAAAATTTATCATTAAGATTAAACATTAAAAATATTTCACTGTGTAAATATTAATAATTCACAAGAAAAATAAATTCCTGCAGCTGACTGTATACCATGTATCACAAAAAAGAGGTTTAATCTTTGTAAGTAGGTATATTTAAAAACCCCTTAAAAGGGCTACATTAAAATAACAAATGTTTTTGGAATAATAATTCCATCACCAGGTTAAAAGCAGGTTAACATGCCTGAGTCACCAAAATATTAGGGTAAAAACCCTTTAAAGTAAATAAAGTTAACAAAGATTATATACATTGTTGTTAAAAATTAAAGATGTTTAATATTTTATTATATTTTACTTCAGGTAACATACACCAATGCCTTGTGAGTACCAGCGTCCGGAGAGTAGACCTCTTCAAACGGACTCCAGCTGGTTACTGAGTAAAGGGTTTTTACCCTAATATTTTGGTGCCTCAGGCATGTTAACCTGCTTTTAACCTGATGAAGGAATTATTATTCCGAAAACGTTTGTTATTTTGATGTAGCCTTTTTAAGGGTTTTTTTAAATACACCTACTTACAAGGATTAAACCTCTTTTTTGTAATATACAAATCATATTTAAATGCAAGCATGATGCTATAACCCACATGTTAGCTTTAGCTTTATGCGGTAGGTGATAACATAATTACTTTTTAAGCTTAGCTTTGTCAAATATCCAATAGTATCGTGTTAATAGTTGATGGTAACCCAAGCTTATAGCTGGATTAGCTAGTAACATGTTTTATCGTACTTCGCCGATATTAGGACCAGTGCTTTTTCGTGTTGCATTGTTCTTGCAACTTCAATGAGTTGCTAGCAACAAGTCCTCGTAGACACTTTGTCTCAGGACCAGCAACGTCATGTAGAGTCTTATGTTGTCATGTTATTAGTTCCACTTTTAACTATAACTACATATCATTTACCCAGACAGCACAGGACATCCCTGGGACGTCCATTTTATGTCATTTTAAGGTCCAAACGTCCCATGACTTCTTTTGAACGTCCGAGGGACGTCCAAGGGATATTTCTAGTCGGACATACCAGGGATGTCCCATAAGGTCGTCCGAGGGACGTCCAAGGGATATTTCTAGTCGGACATACCAGGAATGTCCCATAAGGTCGTCCGAGGGACGTCCCATTAGGGATGTTTTCTAGATGTTAACTGTGTCCTTTTTTTACTTAAACATATTTTTTACAAAATATAATATCTTCCTCCTACTAAACCTTTTTTTTTAAGTTATATTTAGTTTTAAATACCATTAATGTATACAAAAACAGACAGCGGCCCTTTTTACAGAAAAATAGCAGAGCTGTGTATCTCTAAAAAAATTTAAAAATTAGAAGATGAAAGAAGAATGTGGTTATGTTTTAACGACGCTTCTATTTATCTGCTTTTTGGCGCATTTTTATTTTACAGCTATCGTCTATCGTTTTCGGAATATTATTGCTCGAATTATAATCATTGTGGTTGTGGTTGGAATTATAGAATTAGTTTATTGCTTTCTATACTAGTTTGGTAATTTATTATTATAGACATTAAGTAGGTTGTAGGAATTTTGGTGGTTGTGGTGCGAGTTTTGCTACATTTGTAAAGTAAGTATGAGTAATGTACTTAAAAAATACTATATGAGAGCAAAAAGAGCAAGAGTAGAATTTGAAGAGAGTGATCCTGGGGCCGATTGTAATGCCATTATTATCGATACTAAGAGTATTGATAATATTGTTTTATCTAATTCTTCGGTTTCTGATAGTAATATTGTTTCAAATTCTTCGGCTTCGTCGACTACTGACAGTGATGAGTATCAGTTTTTATTAACAGACTCTGATCATGGGGAACTATCAGATGGGGATTCAGATAATTTAAATAAAACAGGACTACGAAACGATGAAACAATGAATTTAAAATCATTTTTATCTAGTTGGGCACTACAATATAACGTTTCACATGTGGCAGTAAACGATCTTTTAAAATACTTAAAAAAACTACATCCTGAATTACCATCTGATCCCAGGACACTTCTTAACACAGATAGAACGGTAATTACAAAATCAATGGATCCTGGAGAATATCATCATTTTGGTGTAGAAACTTGTATTAAATATTTAATAAATAGTTCATCTTCCTTTTTCAAAAATAAAAATTTAATTGATTTAAATATCAATGTGGATGGTTTGCCTATATCGAAAAGTAGTTGTAGTCAGGTATATCCCATATTGTGTAGACTTAGTGGAACCTCAATGGTAGACATGATTGGTATTTACTGGGGCAATGAAAAACCTAAAGATGCTAATAATTTTTTAGAGGACTTTGTAAATGAACTTATTTACATAATCAATAACAATATAATTATAAATGGAAAAACATATCATGTAAGAATGAAAGCTTTTATCTGTGATGTTCCAGCAAAGGCTTTCATTACTTATAGCAAAGGTCATACTGGTTATGATTCATGTAGTAAATGTTATATAAGAGGAGAATATAAAGACAAAAGAATTTGTTTTCCATATTTATATAATTTAAGTTTAAAAACAGTATATAATGGATCATCAATTTTGAAGAATATACCCAACATTAATTTAATTAATAATTTTCCACTTGATTATATGCATTTGATATGTTTGGGAGTTGTGAAAAAAATTCTTTTAATATGGTGTTGTGGCAAGCCATCTTTAAAACTAACGCAACGACAAATTTCAAATATTTCTACATCACTAATAGCTACCCAAAAGTTTATTCCAAAAGAATTTAACAGAAAGCCACGAAGTTTAAATGAGGTAAAGAGATGGAAAGCATCAGAATTTAGACAATTTTTATTTTATACTGGTCCCACAGTATTGAAAAAAGAACTAAGTGAAGATTATTATTTAAATTTCTTAGTTTTACATTTAGCTTGCACAATTTTGTCAAGTAATAACTATTTTGAATACCTTGACTATGCCCATGACTTATCAACATATTTTGTTAAAACTTTTAAACAGTTATATGGACCTCATCATGTTTTTCACAATGTTCATAATTTGCTTCATCTCACCAATGATGTAAAAAATCATGGCCCTCTGGATAACTTTTCTTCATTCCCTTTTGAAAATTATTTACAATCAATCCTTAAATCTATACGTAAGAAAGAAAAGCCATTATCTCAAATTGTTAAAAGACATAATGAGAAAAGAAAGCAACTTATTTCTAAAAATGTAGAGACCCTTGAGTATCCTCTTTTACAAAATATTCATGAAAATGGTATAACACTGAACATGAATTATGAAAATCAATTCAGAAAAATTTTGTTTCAAACTTTTTCTCTAGAAATTAGTGAGCCAAATAACTGTTGCCAACTTAAAGATCAAAGCATAATCATAATTAAAAATATATTATCCACCAAAAAAGGAACTGTCTTAGTAGGTAATAAATTTATTACAAAATCAAATTTTTATGAAAAGCCCTTTTCTTCAGCCAATGTTAATATATTTTGTGTTACCAAGGAAATGAGTACTAGTGATTCTTATAATATTAAAGATATTGGATGTAAATGTGTTAAACTAGAATTTGAAAATTTGTATGTTATTTTTCCAGTATTACACACTGAAAATTAATCTTTAAGCACATGAGTTATTTATAACATTGTATATATTTCACTTGTTATTAATTTCATTATTGTTGAAATAAATATGTAATAAGTTGTAACATTTTTACTGTAAAAAGTTGTATTTTTATTTTTTTTTTTATTTTGTATTTTTTAAGCATCTAGCTGTTATTTACAGTACTTGTTGTATATTAGTTTTAGTTTTAACGATGGAGAAAACATGGACAGTTGTTGGGTTTGAGGAGGATAATTCTGTGGAATGTATACCTACTTCATGGATAGTTGGTGATTATTGTTATTAGCCTACACAAAAATTATCATTAATTAAAACAATGATTCAATCTAATGAAGATGCTAGTTCCTGTTGGCCCCTTCTTAAAATTAAAGTTTTCAGAAATTCAACTTGTGGTCAGTAAACAAATTTTTACTACTTCACTCAATATATATTTAATTTTTAGATAATTATCTAGCAGCCTGTGCCAAGTCAGTAAACAAATTTTTACTACTTCCCTCAATATATATTTAATTTTTAGATAATTATCTGGCAGCCCGTGCCAAGTGCCGAATAGCTGAGGAAACCAGCGATATACCATCAGAAAATGAAAACCTGGGGAAGAGGAAGAGAAAACAAAAAACTCTTTCCTCAGATGAGGAATCATCTACTGAACTATCAAAGTTATCTTCACCACCTAGTTATAAAAGACAACCCATAGAAAGAGGCACAACAACAAAAGACATAAGTATGTATACTATTCAAAAAATTAAAACTAGTGTAATTGTACAACTATTTGTTCCATATTAAGTTGACATAAAAATTTATTAATCATATCTATAGGCACTTAGTTTATCAATAAATATAAATTTATTATACAAGGGTTTACAAGTGTTTTTATCAATGTTTAAAAATATGTTAAGTTTAAATAAAATGTCTTTTTAGATGTTATTTTACCTTCTCCATCGGTGGACACTGCACAGGCATCAGAACAGAGCCAGAATGGTAATTATTGTGTTATGATTGTTATATAAACTTATTCATATTTACCTATTTATTTTTAGTAGAGACATCAAAACTATCAACAGAGTGCAACCATTCCTGTAAAAAATGCTGTGGAAAGAAGGGTAACAGATTTTCTAAATATATCTTATTTTTAAAAATAAGCTGATTTAAAATTTAATACTTTTATGATTGATCAATTTATACATTTTTAGATGAGAGAACTCTTATACAATCAATTTTAACGCAGACAAATGTGGTTAAGTACATGGTAAGCGATGTTCTGCAGGAAATAAAACAAGTTAATAAAATTTCTGATGTTCTGCCTGAACAGCCATCACAAACTCTAGCCACAAGAATAAAAGATGTCGTAAAGCTTCCATTAGATGACACTGAAAGCTTAGAAAAATTTAATGAAGCGTTAGACGAAATAACATTATACAATATTGCTGTAAGTAGATTTTTTAATGTGATTGTTAATAAAGTAACATCATATAGTACCCCACAAGGGGTGATGGAGGTCCCACGTTACTTGATCCCTCTGTTACTTGGTGAGTATGTGACACCACGCACTGAGCTTTTACCCCAATTGGGAGCGGGACCACAAAGAATAATATCTCCCAAATCAAAAAGCCTGAGCTGCTCGGAAATGAATGGGTGACTGGCCTTGGCTGCTATGTGGTACGAAACGAAACAACATTGACATACATGGGACTGGTGACATTGTTGGATTAGTGAGTACTAAAGATGGTACAAGGCCTGTATACACCATTCATGGCGGGGATCGAATGAAGAAATGAATGGGAAGTGAAGTAGGGGTGTTAAAAATATTGCAATAATCCAGTAGGATTCAGCAGCATCCTACCAGAGTAAGGCCTGGCAGGACACTCCGAAGGGCGAATTAAAAAAAACGTAATAGAGTACTTGTAGTATCAGTGAAGCTTTTAACACAAAGAACCTGATTAAAAAGCTGTAAAAATTTTTAAAGTGTATATTATTTAATATCTTTACCATTTTAGGTGAATGATCTTGCCAAGTTAGGTGGAAGAGGCATAGATGATTTTATTAAAAGAGCATGTCTCACATTGCTAACACACAAAGTTGGAGCTGAATATAGCTATTATGGCAAAAAAGGAAAGAAGCCTTTTTTAAACCTAAATGTGGCTAAAGTTTTAATAGGTAAGATATAAAGTTTTATTTAGTACACATATATGTTTTTAAAATGAGAAAATTTTATTGAATTATTACTTTATTTAAAAAAAAATTCACTTTCAACACAAAAAAAATTATTTATTTGAAACCTCTTTGATTTGAAATTAATAATTGAATAATTCATTGAAATTTCATATAAGAACCAGTGATCATTTCCACCATTTTCAAGTGGTTTCATTATTTACAGATGCAGCCGAAAAAGCAAAAGTTGCCGGTTCAACAAAAGAAACGGAAATTGCATTAAGAAAATGGCTTAGACGTTGCCCGGAACGGGCTAGAAGAATTTAATTTTTTTTTTATTTTAAATACATGTTAATTAGGTACACAATAAAAATCACATTTATTTTTGCTTTTCATTTTATTAGTTTTTTGTGTAAGTTCCCTTTAGGTCCTGTATACATCCTCATTTAGGTCCTGTATTAGTCCATGTGGACGTACAATGGATGTAACCAATACATCCTTCTTAGGTCCTATGCAAGTCCGTATTAAGTTCTGTATATGTACTATGTACGTCCCCATAAACATCCCTGGGACGTCCAGGGGACGTACTTTTTGGTAACATTTAGCTCTTATTGGACGTCCCGGGGACGTCCAAATTATGTAAACGGATGTCCGTGGGATGTCCGGACATTTAACGAGGTACATCCTTCGGACGTCCATGGGACGTACTTGTGCTGTTTGGGTAAGAACCAATAATGTAACCTGAATTTAAATTAATAACATTTAACGGGTTGTTACCCAAATATTAAGTGGCTCAAAATAGATACACCGAGACATATTGATGATGGAATATAGATTCTGAAAACGTTTTGTGATGTGATGAAGCCCGATTGCATGTTTTAATTATGTACCTTTTATAAAGGATTTTAAATAAATTTTTTGTGAGATATGGTATACAGTCAGCTACAGGAACTTAGTTTCCTTGTGGATATTAGTATATGTAATAGTCGTCGTCTTTAAAGGCTGATTTTATCCGGAAATAATCAATATTTTACGGACTACCGAGAGACATACTTCCCTATCTTGAAAATTCGTGCATAAAAATTGACCAAAAAACAACCATTATATTTCGTAAAGGCATTGGGCTAATAATTACTAGGTGGTGAAGAATAAAAGAATGAGATTTAGGGTTTACTGGAATTTGGACCTTTTAAAACTCAGAAGATCATGTAAGCAGGTACACTTATATTCTATAAACTCTATCTGCTATCTGGATCCGAAAGACTTTGTAAAAGTGTCATCAAAGCCATAACAGGATTTGTTATAAAGTATATACTGAAACGACAATTTTAAACTTTAGATGAGCTACAATAAACTTCTTAGGTCGCGTAGAAAGTCACTCACATTTAACCTAACTGAACCAAACCCCTATCTGGATTACAGGCAACTACTTATTTGTTTCGTCATCTCGTAGTGCTTGTTTGTTTCGTATGTTAACGACCGTCATAGCAATCAGTACTGTAGCATTTTTATTTCACCTCGTATATGAAAAAACACCAAAAAAGAGTTCTTAATCTTTTTGCCCTGCTGAGATTGATTATATAAGCATTTTTGGGTCTATTTATATGCGTATTATCTGCATATTAATTGCTATTTCGTTTGATCTTGACTCCACCTAAATATAGGCGTATTAAATAAAATGGAATCTTTTCGTTTTAGTTTTTTTTAATAATTTTAACATAGTTGACTTTACAATCATCTGTCAAATAACAGTAAACTAATTGAACTTTATCAAAGAAATTTAATAATTACAAGTTAAACATTACATCTATTTTTTCTACTTCATGGGAAAAATCTATCTCTCCACTAAGCTTCCCCATTGATTGTCAAACAATTACAATAGTTAAACCTGAAAATCCCCATTCAGCTATTACAGGATAGTTTAAACTATGTATGTTCTCCCAACCATTAATTAATAGTGTACCAGCATGTAAGTAATGTTTTGTTTATTTACTAGTTTATTACAATTCAGTAGACTATTTTTATACCAGAGTGTGGGTCTTACTTTGTCTGCTTAAACAGTTTATTCATTTAAAAAAAAACCAGACATGTAATATTGGCATAATTACTGTAATTTATATTATTTATCTTTTGTTTATCTTTATAAGACAACACCCTAATATGGGTTTTATTATTTCAGCATTTAATTAACTTTGTATCGAGACCTAAAGATGCTTTGCAAATTTTAGAAAGCGAAACCGGTAGTCTAGATAGTTAAATTAAACTGATTGTGAGTAAGTCTTATTTATTATTTCTTTTACCGATTTGAAATGGACTCACACAAGCAACACATTCATGACTTTTTGTTTAGGTTTATACCAAACTGTGAGGATAAGGCCACTTCTCAATGGACCAGCGCGATAGCAGTAGGTTTCATTATGTGAGTCCGGATTTTCTTAAAATTCTTTATAGCTATTCGTTATTCGTTAATATCATGGTAAATTCATTAATTAGTAGCTAAAAAGAGAACATATTGGATTCTGATAAGGAAACATAAGGAAACTCGGCTGAGAGTTGAGAGTTTTCAAATATGACAGTCAGTTGTAGCCTTTTTTGTAATTTGGTAGGTATATAACTAAAATTTTAAATTTTGTTTTGATAAAAGGTCTCATTGTAAAGTTTGTTGATAAATTTGGATAATTTTATTTGTTTATGATATCTGTTTATGTGAAATAAAAATAAATATGTAATATTTCTCTTTAAACCAGAAACCCTTAAATTTTTTTAGGAAAAAAGCCTTTCTTTCTAACCAACAGGAAAATTTATTTAAATGGCTTCCTGTTTAAATAGTTTAGGAATCTTCTTGTGTATTGTTCTCCATGGCATCTCTGTAAGTATTTTTTCATTTCTTTTTTTTTGTAGTTAGTTTCTCCAGTCCCTTAAATAAAGAAACCTTTATCCATCACCTAGCTCTCCAACCAAAATACAAGTAGCCGTTCGCAAAAGTTTTGAATTTATTTGTTTACCCTATCTCCAGTACTGTAATTTTTTATCACTCCCTTTCAACCCCCTACAAGCAATTACATATGATTGTTAAAACTGTCGCCCAACGTGGTAGACAGATAAAAATTGTTACAGAACTTTGCACACTGCGGCTCTAAAAAGGTTGTTGGTTATCAGCCAAGAAATACTTCGCTTTCCTGGTGTCCGTTTTACTTCTACTTTAACCTGTAAAATTTTTTGCAATTATTTAGGTATTTGATTTTGGCCGTTTTTATTGTGGTTGGCTCTTTTATTGTATTCTTAATAAAACGTGGCGTTTTAATTAACGTGGTCGGTGTGAGATATACAGAGGTTTTAATAAATAATGACATTTAAATAACTTGGGCATTTTTTAAATTACAGATCCTGCTTTCTCTATCCTACATATATGATTCCTAGGGCTAGGTCACAGAATAATAAAACAATCAGAATGTCCACTCTCCATGGAAAATTAAGTACGCGCATCTCCTTCACGCAGACATTCCGCCATGTTTTAGAGGGAACCAGTGTTGTTTATTAGCCGAAACTTTACAGAGTAATAATCCCAAACCTCTAAGTATCGACGATAACAATAAACTAATAACAGGCTCAGTTAGAAACGCACAACTCAAATTTTGCAAGAAAAATAACACCAAAAGTGAAAAGATTAGCAAAGATACAAGGGCTCTCATGGAAATACGACGAAACCTAAGCGAGAACGTAAAGGGAAACAAAGAAGAATATAAAAAACTAAATAAAAGAATTTCAGCGGAAATTAGAAAAGATGTAAGAAGATACCAAACACATAAAAAAGAAAGGAATAACACCAGCTGTCCGAACAAATAACAACCTTGGGAAATATATTAAAAATAACAAAAGCCAAAATAAAAAACACTTAAATAGTGGTGTGTACAAACTTCAATGTGGCGACTGCCCAATAACTTACATCGGTCAAACTGGTAGAAACTTTGATAAACGAATAGCAGAACATAAAATGGCTTTCAAGAATAGAAAAACAGATTCGACATACGCACTTCACCTTCTAGATCATAATCATTCTTTTAATGACAAATTTAAAATTCTTCACATTCAAAATAAAGGCCTTATAAGCTATCTTTGTTAGAATCTATGTAAATCAACAAATTAAAAAACAGAGATATAATTCTGAATGACCAACTTGAGACAAACAGTTCTCCCCTCCTCAACCTTTTTCATTAGAGACTATAAATTTGTAAACCCAAGCCAAAATAAATCACTTGAGAAAGGCAATCAGCCGAAACAGCTGTAGTGATAATATTTAAAATAAATTTTGTGGAAGTTTGAAAACAAAGTTTTCAGTGTTTTATTGTTACATACTCATAGAATTACTCTACCTCTTCTTCTGGTTTATCTCTGGTGGGAGCTCTTATCTGCTACCTAATTCGATTCGAAAGACCTATGAAATATACTGGACTAGGACGTTATTTTCTCAGAAAAACACAAGATCATTTGACCAGCAAAGCTTTTTTTGGTTACACGTCGTGATTATCTCATAAATGATTTCGTGAAAATGTAATTTCATCTTGTTGTATATCTGGATTTGTATTTCATTAATTGAGAACCTTTTTCAAACAGTAACTTAAAATTAAAAATATTTTTACATCCACTATTTGTAAAATCGTTGTAAGCTTCAACTCTTACATAAACATAAATGCTTGTAGAAAATTAAAAAAACAACAGTACAGATCTTTTTCAGAGAAAAATCCACCATCCAAAAACTCCTATTATACTTCGGTATTAAAAATTATTTCACCAAATTTAGCGGGAGAATTAATATCCAATAAATACTGTTTAAACAAAAAAGGTTAATAAATGACAGGTATACGTGATACTGAATGTGTATCTAAAAATATTAAATCAAAATTAATATCAGTAGGTCATATCCCTCATCATAAATACCAAACATTTTTTAAACATTAGCAAACGTGTCGGGAATGCATGTCTCAAATCTCGACATCATATGTGAATATGTGGGAGGGAATATTTTATAAAAAATCACTGAAATAATATGTTTTAATTATATAATATTGCTTAATTTTTAATTCAATATATATGATTTAAAAACTATTTAATCAGTTTATTCTCTAATAAATTTTAGTAATAATTTATTTTATACCTCAATATTTGATCTCAAATTTGATTTAGTAGATAATTCCTTAGAGGTACCAAGAAGAGTAGTATGACATTTTAATGTATTAATTGTTTTATTTTTTATTTATACAATAAAAATGTTTTTTTGTACTAAATAAAATATTCTATTTTTCAAAACACATAACACACATTAATTAAAGATAGATTAAATCAACCCCTGCAAAGAATAACGTTGTAACCAGCATTTAAGATATTTTTGAGACACGATAACAAAGATACCTTCTTCTTCGTTCTTGTATTTAGGCTTTAAATCCTGTTTCTTCTTTAACATTAGCCTCATAAATTGTTTAAATTATTAGACCATCCTTTTCTTGGTCTGCTAATACTTCTTTGTCCATTTGGTGACATATCTCGTGCTATTCGTATTATCCTATCCTCTGCCATTCTACAAATGTGTTCGTCCTACTTTTGTTTTTGTTTTGTAACCCATTTAATTTTGTCTTCTATATTGCTTGCTCTTCTTATGTTATCGCTTCTCTCCCTATCCAACAGACTTTTTCCTGATATTAGTCGAAGTATTTTTATCTCTCTTGTTTCTAGTAGTCGTCTTGTTTCGGATGTGTCAGGTCTTGTCTCAACCCTGTATGTTAAGATAGGTCCAATTGCTGCTATTTAGATTCTTGTTTTTTGTCTTGTCTTAAGCGTTTGTTCTTCCAGATTGTGTCATTACGCTTTGTTGTCGTACTTCTTCTTCAACATCCCCTAACTAGTAACTAGTTATATCTATTCTCAAATATCTAAACCTTGCTTCCTGCGTTATTAGTTTCCCATCTGTTTCAATTTTATATCGTAGTGGTTATTTATATGTAAACACACATTTGATTTTTTCTGTTGCAGTATCATCAGGAAGATTTGTGTAATTCTGTGTTTGTATAATTTCTAGTTTGAGTTTTAAGTAACCTTCATCTATAAAGTGTTTTCCAAAAATAAGCAATATATCAATTTTATTTGCAATTAAAAATATTTCTATAAGTCTTCCATAAAAAACAGACAGTTTTCCGGTTATCCAATATCATATCAAAAAGAGAAATCATCCGATTTCTATCTGGCGAAATATAATTTAAATTTTGACCATTGTGCTTTCTAACATTTGCAAAGTAAACAGCTTGATAAATTACTCGGCAAGGGAATCTAAAATTACATTCCACATGCCGTTCATTAGGGTCATAATTCATAGTGAATTAAATTTCTGGTATTCCAAATGGAGTAAAGAAATAAAACATAATGGCTGTACTAGATTTTTGTTTCGAGACAGAGCAGCGGCAAGCCGCTTATATGTATTTCGACCTCTTTAGGTCTCCTCAGAGCGGTATAGCCACTACCCTGAATTAAAACAAAATATATTCCCGTCGTACATAACGTCGGACATAACAACGCCATCTAATAACAAAAAGAGAAATCAAAAAGAGAAATCGAATTATATAATAAAAGAAATTGTAATAAAGAAATGAGATTTGTTTTATTGGTGGAGGTCAAACTACTAACCAATAATAGTTAATCGCCACTGGCAATGTACTGAGAATGGAATTGTTTTAATAACCCTCAGAAAGTTTGGGAATTGGCAACAACATTACGCAGTTCTCTGTTAACTGTGTGTAAATAAACACGTGCAGTTATGGGAACTAGAGGTAAAAAGTTAATAGACATGGTGTTCAGGGAGACGAGTCAATCGAGGTATTTACCTAATACATCACAAAATCAGGAATCGGATACAAGACATTCTTCACCAGCTCCCTCCGTTGATCCCGAATTAATGGACATTTTTTATGTATTTAGTGACAGTGATACAAGCTATGTTCCTGACGGAGATTCTAATAGTGAATAATCACACCCAATGCCAATAGCTTAGGTATATTCGTCTATAGAAGTGAGTCACTGTTCTCCCAGTAGAATTAGAAAGGCCATTTATGGAAGTGGATGACTACACCCAAAACTCAAGTCAAACAAACAATGATATTCATGCTGATAGAATTCCATCGCTCCATTCCAACGCAAAAAGAATTATCAAATCATTTGCTAGGAAAGTGCAAAAAAATAGAAAAGTATGTCTGCATAGCGGTAAAGAGTTTAACGGAATTTTAAATTAAATTTAAAGTATTTTAAGAACTGCAAAAGGCAAGAAAGTAAAAGCAAGAAAAATGATAGAGTTGAAAGAATGTCGTAATAAGTGTTATCTGAAATTGAGTCCAGAAATTCAAAGTTTCCTTTTCCAAGAATACTGGAGTTTAGGTTTTTATAATAGAAAAGTTACCTATATCGCGGCTTTCATCAATAGTGCACCAAAAAAAAAACTATTCCTTCGAGAAACTTGGATAATCCCAAAAAACGTGAAGTGACACATTAATATTTTTTTGAAATAACTGGAAGGAAAATTCATGTATTCAAAGCATGTTTTTGTGCAACTCTAGATGAGAAACCAAGATTTATACGTACTTTTATAAGCAAAAAAAACTCAAGTGTATCAGGCATTCCAATCTTTGACGCAAGAGGACACAACCCACCACCACGGTGGAAGGTGTTAAAAATCATATATTTTTATTTCCATCGTACGAAAGTCATTATACTAGACGTACTAACGACAAGAAATACTTGCAATCTCATCTTAAGCTACGAATTATGTATGAACTGTACTGCCAAGACAAGGAAAATCTAGTTAGTCGAAAAATTTATGAGAAAACTTTCCGATCACTAAATTTATCATTTAAAAATCCTAAACAGGATACATGCTACATACGTAATTTATTGAACTTGAAAATTAAGACGGCAGTTAGTGATCCTGACAAGGCTGCCCTTACAGTTCAACGCAAAAAGCATTACTCCAGTGCAGATAAGGCATATAATATGAAAAAATTCGACAAAGAATAAATAAAAACAAGTCACGAAAAAGCATGTTATACGTTTGACCTACATCAATGTTTTCCAACACCTTTTCTTGTATCTTCCGTTGTGTTTTATAAAAGGCAGTTGTGGACATACAATCTCACTATTCATGATGTAGCTTCAGGAAAATCCAAACATTACATGTGGTATGAATGCATAGCTCGTTGCGGAGAAAATGAAATAGCGTCGTGCCTATATCACTTTCCCGTTATTACTCTTATCTAATTTTCTATCCATTCTCGTATTTACTAGGTTTCCCTATTCCTTCAAAAATAGGGTGGTGCCCAAAAGTTTCGTCCCTTACGTGTATTTACCTCACCCGCTAATCTCTTGTAGTCTAGCTCTGTCGAAGCCCGACCAAGACACCTCTACCAGACTGAATCCCGGACAGTAGTATCCTTATTTGTGTAATAATGTTACCAATGGTCGGAGCATTTTCCATCTTTCATTAAGCACACTTCTCAACAGCGTAACAGTGTCGTTTATTACGCTACACTTTAAATAAATATGCATCTTGTGTTGCTACGTTTTAATCAATGTGTTTCCTACATTTCTTATACTTGCGCAGTGAGTGAATTTAGTGTACATCACTTGATTTTTTAATCGCTACCCAATGGAAACCCTTTTAATTTTGATTGAATAAATCGTAGTTTATTAAAAAAATATTTCCTTTTTTTAGATTACGTTTAACTCTTCTGAATACCTTTTCATAATTGTATAGTAGTTTTATTATTATTGACTCCGGCCCTGATCTCACCACCATATTTGTATGATCGTTAACCACACCCTGTGATGCCGTTTTTAATACACACGTTAATATGATCATAGTTTCTCCATAGATTCTAAGTCGTTGCCCATACAGAGAAAAGGAAAATGAAACTACTTTTTATATTTTTAATATGTTAGTATTTTAAGATTTACCTGGAGTAAAATGCCCTGGATTAGAATTTGGATCGTGTTCAAAGAAATAACGATCTCCTCTTCGTAACCTCAAGAATTGCTCTGCGATGATATCTCTAAAAACTGGGCCAACCAAGCTTCCATCAACTTTATCTTCTAGTAATCCTCCGACCCATAAATCTACGTCATCTACAGTAGAGTATACTTTACTTAACCGTTCGCCATACTGAAATTAAAATTTAAAAAAATTAAAAGCCTTATTGCAGTTTAACTATATTGTACAAGTAAAATCGTAAAAGAATATAAAGATGTTGGTAATTTCTTTTATAATGTGTTTGTATCTAAAGAAAGATACAGAGTTGGAAAACAGTTTTCCATTGTGTTAAAAGTCATGATTTTTAGTTGGAATATTATTCCAGTTTCTGAACCCACAAATAGGGAATTACCTTATAATTCTTTTAAACTCCTTCAATTTACTAAAAATATCGACAGGAATTGGGTAAAATACCTCAAATCGCAAAGGTGCTTTTGCCCTGGGGATGAATGTCACCCTCTTTTAGGGGTGTAAATTCAAAACGTCCAAATAATCTCAAAAACCGATGGGTAATTAAATTTTAAGCAAAAAATATTTTATGAAGTTTTTTATCAGAATAATTTTTGAGTTATTCCGAATTGAAAATCACAAAAACAAATGGTAGTGTCAGTCTATTCCGAAAAGTATAAACTGGGCTATCTCTAATAAGTCCCAATGGCTAGTTATGTTAACTTCCGTCATTTTTTGACAAAATGTGCTTGTATCTGCTTTTTGATAGTAGTGCGTTCTAAGTTCTAAGCTTTTGTCGTACTTGTTCAAATGTTTCATGGGAAATCGTCCTACATTCTTTAACAATTTGTTCTTTGAAAGTGTTAATACTATCGGGTGCTGTAAAACCCATGTGCCATTTTGTTTGCTGATTGGCATATTCATTTGTTCGTTGTGTTTAAGTTATATGTTAGTTTTATTAGCGAATAATTTGTACCATCTGCAGGTTAAATATTCTTTAAATATGTATTAATATCATTGTCTTTATGTTGAATCAATTTTTTTTTAGTAGTCTATAAGCTTAATAGAGTTTGCTTTATCTTCTGGATGCCTAGTGAGCTGACACCTCTTTCACAGTTTTATTTTTTTTTTGCTAAGTATATTTATGTGAGCAGGATAGGACTTAGAGTTGTGTTTGTAGGTAATTACTGTGGTGGACATCCAAGCAGCTTGCTGAATAACTGTAGTTAAGTGACCAACTACTGCATTTTCTATGTCGCTGTCTCTTTTAAGAGGCAAGTTTAGGTTAATGGATATTTTTATTTCTTTTCTATATCTGTTCCAGTTTATTCTTTTATTCAAGAGTGTTATATATTTAAGACAGTTAGGAATTTTGGAATATAGCCACATCGAGCGTCATAGACGGGAGATGGTTCTTGATAACTGGTCCTCATAAGACACCTAACTCTCACTTATGGCTCCAAGTGCAACACGCCGGCCAACTGCATTGATCTGCAGGCTAAACTAAGTGAGGGTAGCCAGATATGGCGAAAATTTCACCGACCGATTGCCGGTATAATCAATGCCACACTTGCTAATCAACGGCTTTGGGCGGATGAATTGGTAGGTGGTAGGACACTCTTTTTGTCCTGGGATTGAGAAATCAACTTTGAAGGTGAAAAAACCAATATCTTGGTCAACAGCATAAGGATGTAAAAAGCAAGGGAAAACCACTACTTTAAATACCACCATGGATATCCCTAGTACAATCATTATGGTTTTAGAAATAACGGAGTTACTGATCATAGTCTTCTTCTTGCAGTACCGTCTCCTATCGGAGGTTGGCTACCATCACAGCAATCTTTACTTTATTGGCTGCAGCTCTGAACAACTGTATTGAACTGCATCCCTACCACTCCCTTAAAGTTGGTCCCTCGGAAGCCAAGATCCGGCAGGGAAAAAGAAGACAAGGACTCTTATGTCGTTTATCATTGAATTCCTTTTCAAAGAACGTAGATAATAAAATAACACTGTTTAACACTAGAATACGAACCTGGAATGTTTAGAGCATGTTTCAGTCTGGTAAAATGTCACAATGTTATTCAAGGAATGAACAGGTTAAATATCAATGTACTTGGTATCAGTGAAGCCAGGTGGCCTAACTCAGGTTGTTTTTTAACAGACGAAGCCACAATATATGATTCTGGTAGCGAGAATAATCAACACAGACACGGTGTGGCAATAATAAGAAAGAAATATTAAGAAAAAATCTAATAGAGCGGTGGAATGCTATTTTCCTATTTTAGAAAGGGTATTGGTACTGAAGTTGATGACATCTCATGTCAAACTGAATTTTATACAGGTCTATGCTCCTACGGCGAATGCCAATGAAGAAGAAGTGGAATTTTTTTACCGAGATATCGAAGAGGCACTTAGAATAACGAAAACAAGAGAAATCACGATAGTCCTAGGTGATCCCAATGCAAAGATTGGAAGAGGACAAAGCGAAAAGTGTATAGGAAATTATGATCTTGGAAATCACAAGAGAGGAGATTTCAGATATAATTTTGTCAAAAGCATAACTTCATTATTACAAACACATTATTCAAGTTACCAGACGACTGTTTACATGGCGATCGCTCGCAGATACATCGGAGAAATTAGTGAGGAATCAGATAGACTACATTATGATCAATGAAAGATACCGTAATGCTGTTATAGTTGTGAAAGCAGATCCTGGATCAGACGTAGCCTTAGATTACAATACACTTATCGCCAAGATTACACTCAACCTTAAAAATATTAAAAGATATCAAAGAATCCCTACAATAGACACAATTAAACTTAAAGAACCCAAAGTAAAAACATACCTCCAACATGAACCGCATGTAAACTGCAGCAAATTGAACACAAACACCAATGATATTGACGAGTACTGGGATCGATTAAAACATTGTCTACTGGAACCCTATAAAGAAATACTAACGTATTTTTTCGGCAAGGAGAAAAGAAGAATGGGGGAATGACGAGATACTTAATATGATGGCATAACGGAGACAATTTAAAAATAAAGACAACAATAAATACAGAGAGATAAACCACGAGATCAGGAAGATGATAAAGCAGGCAAAAGAAAAATACTTTGGAGAAAAATGCAAAGAGATCGAAGACCTTTAAAATAAATATGATGTGTTTTATCTACACAAAAAATTTGAAGAACTGGCAGAAATAAGAAAACAAATTTCCACTCTTGCAATTCTCCATAGACATGGGACTACTAAACACATATGGACGAGAAAGTACAAAGATGGGCAGAATATATCGACGAATTGTTCAATGATGAAAGAGAAGATTTGGAGCACATAGATCTTACCCCAGAAGAAATAGGTTTATATATTACAAAAGAAGAAATATTACACCTATTAAAAAAATGAAGAGTGATATAAGCCCTGGACCTGACATATTTCCTATAGAAATCCTAAAAATTCTAGATAAGAAGCACATTGATGTTTTAGTGACCTCTTGAACAAAATTTATAGTTCAGGCAATCAGTGGTTAAGATCGATTTTGATTTGTCTCTCCAAAAAAAGACGCAAAAGAGTACATTACCGCACCATCAGCTTGATATCTTATGTGCTAAAGTTACTACTAAAAGTCATCCATAACCGAATATATTACAAACTGGACATAGACGTTAATGATACACAATTTGGCTTTTGCAAACACTTGGGAACGCGTGAAGCTCTTTTTTCACTTAATATACTGATACAAAGATGCCTTGACGTCAATTAAGATATATACGCGTGTTTTATTGACAATATTAAAACATTCGATAAGGTGCGATATAAACAATTAATGAATGTTCTGAAATCAAACAAGATTGACTACAACGACCTCAGGATCATATCAAATTTATGCTGTAAACAGCGAGCAAAAGTACATGTTAACGAACAGCTGTCAGAAAAAATCGAAATTAGATGTGGAGTGAGACAGGGATGCATATTGTCGCCAATTCTTTTTAATGCCTACTCCGAACAGATCCTAAAAAACACTCTTGAGGGTAAAACAGCTGTAATAGAGGTAAATGGAATCTATATTAACAACATTAGATATGGGGATGATACTGTGATCTTAACCGAAAATATTGAAGATCTTCAGAGACGTGACCAGAATAGCGGAGTATAGAAAAGAGTATGGTCTAACAGTGATAACCAAATGATTTCAAAAAGACAAAATTTATGAGAATATCGAAAACTCAAAGAAATAACAAGAATCTTCTAATAAACGGAACCAACGTCAAACCTATTCCGAAGACGTAATGAATAGAACACTCTCTGAGCAATCAGTAGGTATTAAAATAAATGGTGTTAGATTAAACAATCTGAGATTTGCCTACGACACCGTTCTGATCGCAGAAACACTTAAAGGGCTACATACATTGGTTAATAAGATAGCAGACTGCAGCGAAGAATATGGACTATCTTTGAACATAAAGGAAACTAAATTTATGGTTATATCGAAATTAACACAAAATGTCCAAAATTTATATTTACACAATGAAATTATCGATCGAGTTTGCAAATACAAATATTTAGGCACTTTTATAAATGAAGACAACGATAGCTCAGCAGAAATCAAAATAAGAATATAAAAAGCCAGATCCATACTCACTAAAATGAAGAGACTGTTCTGCGGAAGAGATTTGAGCCTTGAAATGAAACTTCGCCTGATAAGATGTTACGTACTTTCTGTGCTGTTCTACGGAATTGAGTCATGGACGTTGAAAAAGATTGATACCAAAAAATTAGAGGCATTTGAACTGTGGATGTATCGCAGAATCCTGAGAATATCATTGACCGAGAGAGTCACATATGTCGAGGTCTTGAGAAGAATGAATAAAGAAAGGGAAGTCATATTTACGATTAAAAAACGAAAACTGCAATACTTAACACACATTATAAGACTCGAAATATATGAACTGCTTCGAATAATTGTGCAAGGAAAAATAGCAGGAAAAAGGTCCATAGAAAGAAGACGAAATTCCTGGCAAAAGAATCTACGAGAATGGTATAGCTGTAGCAACAACGAATTGTTTCGGTTAGCAGTTTCGAAAATGCGTAGAGCCCTGATGATCGCCAACCTTCGGAACGAAGATGGCACTTGAAGAAGAAGAACGTCAAACAAGTGGACAAATATGCATATCTGGGAATAAGGATTAACTCCACAAATGTTTACATTCAGGAGATAAAAATCAGAATAGAAAAGGTTAGAACAAATTTAAACAAAATTAGAAGAGTGCTATGTACAAGGGATTTAAAATTGGAACTATGAGTTAGGTTGGCGAGGTGCTATGTTTTTTCGACTTTATTTTATGGAATGGAATCTTGGACCTTAAATGCGACATTAGTAAAAAAAACTGGAATTATTCGAGCAGTGGGTGTACAGAAGAATACTGAAAATATGGTGAACAGAACACGTCACAAACAAAGAGGTTCTGGGAAGGATGAATAAAGTAATGGAAATTTTAAATACAATAAAAACAAGAAAATTAGAATATCTCGGACATATTAAACGTGGAGAGAAATACACCTTACTTTAACTGATTATGCAGTGAAAGATCCAAGAAAAGAGAAGCATGGGGAGGCGTAGAATGTCATGGCTGCAGCCACCTGAGACACTGGTACGGATGTACAGTTGCGGTCACGGAATAGTTTACAGGTTCACGTATCTAGGAGCCCATTTTTTAAATTTTTACTTCGTTTAAACGCACCTTTTACGTCAAAGTGACGTTGCCAGTGGTGTACTAGCTAGAATAGGTAGATTAAAATTAAAATATCAAAATATTTTACAAAATGAAAAATATAGAAAACAGTTTTTTGAATAAAATGGATTACGATCTTAATAACGAAAATAAAGAAGTCTTTTTTTTAATATGCATTTTATTTTAAATCTATTTTATATTAAATAACGATAAACAATGATAAATAATAATTAATATTTGGTGGAAGCCCCATTAAAAGCATTGACGTTTTGAAATTTTTTGACTTTGACATTTATCAAATCCGTACGACACTGCAATTTTACAGTATTACAATATAAAAAGTAAGGTGTAAACTATTCCGTGACCGCAACTGTACATCAAATCACCTTTTCAGAGCAACCGTCTCAAAAGTCCGAATAGCTATGATGATTGTCGACCTTCTCCGCGGAGATGGCACTTAAAGAAAAAGAAGTATATTCCAGAACATTAAATTATACATGCCAAATAGATATACCACAATGGTCGTATGACACAAAATGGCATACTGTATCATTATGCACATAATTCAGGGCAAAGAACATTGAGACTAAAGTGAAAAAGATAGATGTTCTTATCTGAATAGAAAGGTACAGGATATTTGAGTTTTTTACTTGATTGCATGTACCGTTCCCGTCATAAAAAAACTGGTACAACTCTTATAACCGAAAATCGTGTTTTTCAAGTTGTGTAAGTTGAGCTTGTCACATGTGTCATTCTAATTTCGAAGGCAACGTTGCCAGTTCAACGAAAATATTATATCAAACCAGCAAAAGTGCGACAGGTTGCAAGTTTTTAGTATACTAAAACAATATCGAGCATTCTCGATCAGTCAGTCACATTTATATTTATACATTTATTTAAACATACATCTTAAAAAATTCTATTAATTTTGAAATTTTCCATTATCTCAGTACTCATACATTGATTCGTGTTTTATTATAATGTATGAAAATATTTAGATTCAATAGTACATTGTTTACCGGGTAGGAAAAGCTTAACATTCCTGGACGACTGTGAAGATTGCTAAGTCGAGGCGCAAGCCGAGACTTAGCAACACAGAGTCCAGGAGTGTGGCTTTTCCTACGAGGTAAACATACTATTTTTCCGCAAATCGTTTAAAATTCGACAGATATTGATTGATTTAAAAAAAACGCGATAATTTTATTCCCAAATAAATGGTGCTTTGAAATTCCTAATAAAATTACTTGGATTAATATGGAAACGTATTGAGGTTGAATTGTCAAACTTGACGCTTATAAATTTAATTGCTGGTGTTCTCGAAAGTAAAATGATAAGTGATGATGAAATTTGTTATATTTACAGTAATTTGACAGTTAGTACAATTATTAAACATTGGAGGAACACTCTTAGAACTATGAGAAGCAATGTGTTTTCTATCATTTATGTAGAACACTAACAACTGTATGGAAATATCATTTCCTTACAGTAAGGAAATGACATTTCCTTACAGTAAGGAAGTCCTGACTTTTTCTTCAAGAAATTTTGACAGGAATGTCAAAATTTCCTGGCGATTTGCGGAAAAAATAATTATAGATAATAAACCTAAACATGACTTTAAATTTATGTTATAAAACCCACTGGAAAAAATTAGAATTTACTTTGAAATTAATAAAAAATTAATAATTTTTACAGTGAACAAGTGTGGGATTTAAATAGATGTATTCAATTATAATCAATAAGACAATTCGAAAAGTTAATATGTTGTCATAGCTTCTTCATTATTATTAATCACTTCTTGTAATCTTCTGGGAACTGAGTTAATTAAATTTATTGACAAATTTTCATCTTCGACCAAGCTTTCCCAGGTTTCTTCAATGATGGTCCATAAATGATCTTTGTTTTGGGGAACTACATTTAATTTTTGTATTTTGTTGATCCTAAGTCCCCAAACGTTCTCTATTTAATTAATATCTGGACTTTTAGAGGGCCATGGAAGAGCTTCAGTGCTATTTTCCATAAGATAATTCCGTACGAGGTGGGCTGTGTGGATTGATCAGTTATCATGCTGGAAAATAAAATTATTGTTGGGGAAAATTTCCCTAACCGGTGGCAACATCACATTATCTAATATATGTAAATAGGTTTCAGTATTGAATCGTCCTTCAATTCTCCAATACATTCCTAAACCTCCTCTATACATCCAAGCCCAAACATTTATAGAGAACCGTCCTGACTTATCACGTTATCACTTATTCGTTAAACCTATTTCAAGGAGGTCTATAAACCCTAATATGGCCATCATAATGAGACTGGAATACTTTTTCATCAGTAAAAATTACATGGTCCCAAAAATTAACTGGATCATTTAAAACGTAATTTAAAGCAAATAAGAGTCTACTTTATGTTCCTCGCTAAATTTGTATTTTCGGGCGGTTGCACAATTTTTTAAATATGTTCTTCTAATTCTCCTTAATGCTGTAGTTATAGAAGTATTAAAGTTTGTATTAAGTTTTGCTTGCCTTGCCGTATGAAAGGGATACGCTCTTAAATAATTAGTTAATGTTTCATCTTGGGCTGTAGTAATAACTAGTCTCCCACTACCTCTCCTTCTATCCAAAGTCTGCTCGTTTTCCCATCTTTTTTTAATATTGTGGATTGTGGTTTTACATATATTTAACTCTTGAGCCAGTTCCAACCATCTTCTATTTTTAAAATTATTCTCGTTTTATCAAACTGACTTAACTGACGTGGCATCTAAAAAATTCACTTTGACAAACTTGTCAAATCTGACTGATGGCAAGCAACATTTTGTATGTTTAATTGTTCGAATAAGTTCAAGTTTTCACGCACTGTTAACATCTGTAGATACTAAACCAAAATTTTCTAGTTACAAGAAGATTTTTTACAGTTATAAGAGGATAATGTAATACTGTCACGTTTGGAAAAACGTTTTTCGCCCCAGTTTATAATCTATGTAGGATAAACTATAATGTTAGTTTTTCATATTTATCGTTCATGTAATAAATAATACATTAATTTAGGTAGTTTGCCTGTTACTAAACTTATTGACATAACATACAGTTAGCAATTTGTGTTCTGTAAGTAATTGAAGTATAAAATTACAGTAGATGCATTCCAATGTTCCCTGTGCCCTAAGTTTAAATATCGTTCAACATTTTGGACATTAACTTCTCTTTCTGGTTAATAAATTTATTAGATACGGTTTTTTGTTGTTAATAATAAAAATAATACCTATCCAAAAACTTACATTTTTGAACGTTATTTTTTACGTTTTACGTTTTATTTAAATTTAATGAAATTTTGTTATCTGTGATGGCAACAACTAATTGATTCACAAATCATCGTGTCCAGTCTGAACACAGGTTTACATTGGGAAAAAAAAGTGTACCAGTTTTATATGACGGGAAGTGTACTATTAACACTCAATTTCATTTACAACGCCATTTTGTAGACAGCAAAATTAAATTTAAAGTTAATGTCAATATTTTTGTTATATTTTCTATTTGTTTTAATTCAGGATAAACTATCAATAAATGTTTAGTTAGAAAAAATTCAAAAGGTACGTCGATATATATATATATATATATATATATATATATATATATATATATATATATATATACATCACTCTCTTGAATAATATGTTTACGACAAGCCCTTCGCTCCCTTATAATAATACATTAAAACAGGACACTTACTTCGTAGGGTGATACTTTTATGTGAATGAAAGTAAACTTTGTATTAAAAATTTACAACTTTGTCAAATATTGCATTAAATTAATTACAAAATAAATAATCCATTCGAATAAATACAATAATTCTCTTACCTCGGGACCAAAATCTCTGAAGGACTTGTATCTTGGTAAACCACTTAACTCTCTGTAATCGTTATACGGCCTTAAGCCGTGATCTCTTCCTCTTTGAATATTTATTGAAGGTAAATCTACTCCAAATGGACTTCCAGCTCTAAACATGTACTTTGTTAACTAGAGTAAAAGAAAAATATTAGTATGTGTTTGTAAAAGGAGTATGTCTATATTTATTAGGAATTTTCTTACATATGATCAATGTTACCAGTGTGTAATCATACACTTTTAAATTCATTTGAATTAAACTTTAAAACAAAACTTATTGCACTACTTTTTGCTTTTAAATATAATTTTTTAGACAGTTGAAGTGTATAAGATTTAATATTTTAAAAACAAAAAATCTAAAATTTACAAATAAAAGACATTTTTTATAATAGACAACATTTTATGCACACAAGGAGTGGACCACAAATCTGGAAAAGCTAATTATTTCATAAATGGATGGTCCAAATTATAAAACAAAACAGGGACACACCTATTTTGCAATATAAAGATTTGAATAATTGATGGATTCGACCGTTACTTGATGGAAATTCATTTTATGTAACATTAAAACACTGAAAATTTTGTTTTCAAACATCCACAAAATTTATTTTAACTCTTATCACTACAGCTGTTTCGGCTGATTGCCTTTCTCAAGTGATCTATTTTTGGCTTGGGTTTACACATTTATAGTCTCTAATGAAATAAGTTGAGGAGGGGAGAACTGTTTGTCTCAAGTTGGTCATTTAGAATTATATCTGTGTTTTTTAATTTGTTGATTTCCATAGATTCTAACAGAGATAGCTTAAGGCCTTTATTTTGAATGTGAAGAATTTTAAATTTGTCATTAAAAGAATGATTATGATCTAGAAGGTGAAGTGCGTATGCCGAGTCTGTTTTTCTATTATTGAAAGCCCTTTTATGTTCTGCTATTCGTTTATCATAGTTTCTACCAGTTTGACCGATGTAAGTTTTTGGGCAGTCGCCACATTGAAGTTTGTACACACCACTATTTAAGTGTTTATTTTGGCTCTTGTTATTTTTAATATTATTATATTTTCCTAGGTTGTTATTTGTTCGGAAAGCTGGTGTTATTCCTTTCTTTTTTATGTGTTACGTGTATATGTTTCTTTTTTATGTGTTACTTTACGTGTGTAGATGAATAGCAGAATATAAAAGGGCTTTCAATAATCGAAAAACAGATTCGACATACGCACTTCACCTTCTAGATGATAACCATTCTTTTAATGACACATTTAAAATTTGTCGAATCAATCAATCAAATTTAAAATTCTTTACATTCAAAATAAAGGCCTTAAGCTATCTCTGTTAGAATCTATGTGGAAATCAACAAATTAAAAAACACAGATATAATTCTGAATGACCAACTTGAGACAAACAGTTCTCCCCCCCTCAACCTATTTCATTAGTGACTATAAATTTGTAAACCCAAGCCAAAAATAGATCACTTGAGAAAGGCAATCAGCCGAAACAGCTGTAGTGATAAGAGTTAAAATAAAGTGTGTGGAAGTTTGAAAACAAACTTTTCAGTGTTTTATTGTTACATAAAGATTTGAAATTTATTGTTTGTAAAGTTGTGAGATTGATTTTTTTTGATACCATTAGACACTTTGGTTTTTAAATCTATCTGTACAGCCCTAAACATCCATCCTTGGATATAGGCCTCCTCTTCCTTCTTCCATACCTCTCTATCTTGGGCAATTTGCATCCATTTTGACCCGGCGTGTTTCTTCAGGTCATCTGACCATCGCATTTGTGGCCTTCTTCTTTTTCGTTTGTGATTCCATGGTCTCCAATGTATAATTGTCTTAGTCCATCTTTCATCTTTCTGCCTTAGGGTGTATCCGGCGAACTTCCATTTAAGCTTTGCTACTTGGGAGAGACATCTTTCACTTTTGTTTTATTACGGATCCATTCGTTTCTTTTTCTGTCTGATATTTTAATGTTCAGCATTTGTCTTTCCATGGATCTTTCTGTCTTTGCTATTGTTTTCATATTTTCCTTTGTAAACGTCCATGTCTGAGAGCCATATGTGAGGACAGGAAATATACATTGATTGAAGACTCTCGTTTTTAGGTATTGGGGGTATTTTGAATTCTTTAGAAAATAACACAGTTTTCCGAATGATGCCCAGGCCAATCTTATTCTTCTCTTTATTTCTTCCGGCTGATTTTCTTTATTTAATTTAGTGATTTGGCCTAGATATATATATACTCTTTTACTTGTTCTATTCCTGTTTGTGCCACTGTAATTATTAGTTCTTCTAGTTGATTAGTCATGGTTTTTGTTTTACTGTAATTCATCTTGAGTCCAATTTTTGTCGATTCTCTATCTAGTTCTTCCATCATTCTTTGTAATTCTTCACTTTTTTCTGTTATTAATACAATCATCATATCATCAGCATATCGTAAATGATTAAGATTTTGCCCGTTTCTGTTAATTCCCAAGCCATCCCAGTGTAGTCGTTTGAAAACATCTTCTAGCGCTTGGTTGAATATCTTGGGCGAGATGGTATCTCCTTGTCTTACTCCTCGGTTTATTTTAATAGGCTCCGTTTGTTTCATTAGTTTAATAGTGGTTGTTGCCTTGTTATATATATATATATATATATATATATATATATATATATATATATATATAACCAAACAACACAGTTTATTAGGGTTGCAGTCAGAATTATTGGCCGGGATGTTAAAAAAACACTCTTTTGACTTTTTGTCGAGCTTTCGGAATATTTTTATTCCTTTTTCAAGACACTGTAAAAGACAATTATGTAAGTATTTAAAAATATTTTATTATTAAAAATATTTAAAAATATATATTTAATAAAATATTTTTTGTATTTTGGCAAAAGAAAAGAACCATTTAAAACGTGTTTTTTTGGAAATGTGTTTCATAAAATCTAGCACATCTTGTATCAATAAAAAGTCCGATATAGACAAATTAAGTAACATTTATTGTTATTTACTAGAAAAACACCAAAAATAAAAATAAAAATAAAATAAATATTTACCTGTACGAAAAATTACACCTCTGTATAATATGTTGCATACCATTAAGACAGGTTAAAAATTATAGACACCTAAGAAAGGCCTCTAGTAATGCTTGTAAAGAAAGATAACATCAATTTACACCTAATTACATATTAATTACACTGTTTTTTCTTTCCATTCTCTGTATGAGTTAATATACACCAGTAAAACATGCCATCAATCAAGTTTTACTATTTTTAACAACAAAATTTTTAAAAAATTTTATGATGTATTATGTCCATAATTGTATATTTTAATGTGTGGTATTAATGTTGAGTGTTCAATGCTTACAAAAATAATCTCAACGACTAGTAAGTTACACTGAAGAATGGTGATAATATTTTTAAATACTTACATAATTGTCTTTTACAGTGTCTTGAAAAAGGAATAAAAATATTCCGAAAGCTCGACAAAAAGTCAAAAGAGTGTTTTTTTAACATCCCGGCCAATAATTCTGACTGCAACCCTAATAAACTGTGTTGTTTGTTTATATCGACAGTCAATAATATCCAGTATTTCTTATATATATATATATATATATATATATATATATATATATATATATATATATATATATATATTTGTAATTAAGTCGGTATATCGGTAGTCTATTCTGCTGTTTTGTAGGAAATTCTGTACTGCCCAGTGTTCCACACTATCAAGTGCCTTCTCGAAGTCAATAAATGCCATGTATAGCGGGATATGATATTCGTTAGTTTTTTCGATTAAAATCTTCATCGTTCATCCTTCATATTTCAGTACAAGTGACCACCTTTTAACAATGAAGGTTTTTAAATACAACATCACATATATTGACTATTATCAAAATCTCCACTTCAATACCAGTTCAACCGTATACCATACTTTGGATTTTATGTAGTCAGGAACATCTTAAAAAGATAAAATACAAGTCTATAAACGCTTAAACTATTTACAACTAAATTTTAACATAATAATTAAATATTTACTACCTTGCTAAATTAATGTCTACCTAAAAAAGTGTTCAAAATGTTTTGCGTTGTGAATTTGGCAGTTTCCTAAACGATGGTCGAATGCGTACATTATAGTTATCCATGTTTCTCTAGAAATTAATATGCATTCTCTGGTTTGTCTAAGCTCTGCAAAATTTGCTGGTTTAGTTTTATAAATTCTTCTTTTCAAGTATCCTTAATAAAAATAACCTTTAGGATTAAAATCAGGTGAACGGGGAGGCCATTCAATACTACCTAATCTACTAATTCATCGTCCGGAAAATCTAAATCCTCTGATCTAAATAACGCCGAACCTTTAGATCAAAATGAGCTGTAGTTTCGTCTTGCTGAAACAATATCTCGTTAAATTTGCTCCAAAATTGATTTTCACGACAGGTTCAATTCAAGACATCGGTGCAAAAAGGAGCCAGCTCCGGTAATTCGTAAGAAAAATACAATGAATACTCAGATGTCCTATTGGATTCGATGTAAAAAGAAGACAGTTACGGAGTTGGCTCGTTTTTTCACGGAATAAATAATTCATATTTAAGCAGTTTCAATGATTTAAGCATTTTATGATATTTCAAAAGTCTGTTGAATAACGGCGAAATGTCTGGTAGTAACAGTTCATTAAAAGTAAATAAAGCAAATAAAGCAGGGTGCCTAAATGAAACAATATGGAGAAATAAAAATATAGGGAAAGAAACGAAAGGCAGAATTTACAAAACAGTCATCACAACAATAATGACATACGCGGCAGAAAAAATATCTGATACAGAGAGTACAAAAAGAATATTAGAAACAGCTGAGATGAAAACACTTAGATAAATTGATGGTAAGACACTATAGGACAGAGCTAGAAGTACAGACATACGACGTAGATGGAAAGCGAAGAACATCAAAAACTGGGTAAAAAATAAAAGACTAGAATGGAATGATTATATAAGCCGAATGACAACAAATAAAGTAGTAAAGACGGCAAGAGACGGTTCTCCAGAAGAAAGACGATCAGTATGAAGACCATGAAAACGATGGAACGAAAACTTACTGGAGGCACATTGAAAAACAGACAGAGTCATGTCTATATGAAAAGAAGAAGAAAAAGAAGTTA